TTTCCTTGAATTGGGAAAGAAGGTATACCACCACCACCACCATAGAGGAGGGAGTAAGTGTTTGGGCCTGGTGGTTCACATCTACAGAAAGCTGTCTGCCACTCTAGTTCCAGTGCCTCCAAGCTCAGGGCTAAGTGAAGCGATGTTCTAAGTGTGGACTAGCTGCTTTAAAAACTACCCCCACCCACATCCCATGGTTTATCACAACACAGATTTCTTGTTCCGTCACAATACAATGCTGGGGTCAGGGAGGACCTGCTCCACACATTCAGGGCCCCAGGTTCCCTGGCTCAGCCATCTAGACTCAGCAAACACCACTCGCTGCACCTTCTGCTCCCACTTAGAAGAAAGGGGAAGAGCACAGGGAACCATGAGTGTTTTCAGAGGTAGTCCCAGAAGATCCATTCTCCACACTTTCCATAGGCCAGAGTCCATCACGTGGCTTCACCTAATTACAAAGGAGCCTGGGAAATGGAGCCTAATCTCATATCCAGGAAAAACAGAAGCATAGATGTTGGCAACCATTAGCAATCCATGCCACTGAGGGCAAGTCCCTGGCAGTCCTGCTACTCTCAGTGAACACTCGCAGTGAAACTTGGGATGCAGCAATCAGAAGTTCACTTTGGCTCTGGGCCCCAGGATCACAAAAGGCTTAGAAGCATGCCAAGCAGAGGCCACAGAAGAAAAGCTTTCCTTATCACATTCTGGCACGGGATGCTGAATCGGAGCATCTTAAATTCAAACTTGGCTGTCCAGGATATTATGCAATCAAGGTAGGACAGAACTTATTTCACTGGATTTATAACTTTTGAATAGTAAGATATGGCGTATGGGCCTCCACCTGAATTCACGCCCTGGCATTACACACATGGGGATGGGCCTGGTGGTTAAAGGCATACACTTTAGTAGCAACAAACAAGAATCGCTGTCGAGTAGACTCCGACTCATGGCGACCCTGAGTTTTAGAACTGTGCTCCACAGGCTTTTCAATGGCTGTGACCTTTTAGATTGCCAGATCTTTCTTTCGAGGTGCCTCTGCATGGATTTGAACTGCCAACCTCTCAGTTAATAGCTGATGCTTAACTGTTTTTGCAGCACTCTCTGGTACCACACAGACCTGTATTTATAAAATCTGGTCCTGCCAAAGCTGTGTGCCTTTGGGCCATTCACTTGGACCCTCTAATCAAGTAATAGTGCTGTTAGAGTATCCCAACTCAAACTGGCTTCATCACAAACAGGAATGTCCTGGCTGTGGGAACTGAGGAAGTCCAGTGGTGGCCACTTTAGGAGTGTGGACCCAGCATTCTAAGCAGCAACAGCACACGGTCTGTCTGCATCTTCCAGCTTTGCTGTCTGATAGTGACTTCCTTCTCAGACAGGCCTACACATGCTAACAAGCCTATATCCTTCTTATTTAGCAATCTTAGTACAAAAACGAAAGTTATCTTTACCATTCTAAAGTTCCAGCAAAGTCCAGAGATCTGCTGACTGGTTCTATGCCCACCATGGAGGGTCTGGGTCTATCCTCTGTGAATGATATGGATTCAAAGTGGGAAAAGAGGTAGTTTCCTAAATAAAAATGGAGATATGGTTATGGGGAGAATGGATGAGGCAAAAACAATGAAGTTGCAGGGAATAAATGCTCAGCACTCAGTGTCAGCCACTAACAAAGCAAGGAAATACAAATGGACTCAAGCTGGATATGCTGACTATATAGAGAAGTAGAGGCTGCAGGCATTTTTCACTACTACACTGCCCTAAACTCTTCAGCAGCAGACTTGGAAGCCTTATGTTATGAAGACTCTGGAATGAAGACCCTATCTCTAAAGACATTCACAGGTTTTGATGTGTATGAAACATCCTTTCAGTTGCTGTGGCTGATTCTACAATGGTGGCCCTCCACCTCGAGAGAGGTGTGCTAGAATCAGCATGCTCACCAAGAAGATCCACATCGTTACAATTTTACACAAGAGCACATGAGCCCAAATGGCCAAGTGTCTCGATGTGTCAATTTGAGCCAATACAGGGTGTATCAAGCACTGTATGAAGTAACACATCATCACTGCTAACTCATCACTGGATGTGCTTCCTACTTACCCTCTAGTTTCCAATTATAGAATCACCTTGGAAATGTAAGTATTATTAACCTTGCCGGAATTTGACCTAGACTATCAATAGGCCTTTAACTGTGCACTTAAGTATTTTTATTTTTTCTTTCCCCCCTAGATAAAAATAGGCTATGTATTACCATTTTTCATATTTATACAACTTTTTATTTGGAGAAATTTCAAACTTACAGAAGTTGAAATAGTAATATTAAAATATCAATGCTGCCTGCACATGCAGGGATTTTGGATCAAAAAACCTTGGTGACTTCTGCTCTAACACCCAGGCACCTTCTCTACTGTTACAAGAGAAGCAACTTCATTTTTAGTGACTGCTTTCTTTCCTCAGAAGTCTCTGTGATGACTTTTTTATGGTGCTTTCGGTCATCTCATTAGAAACTCACAACCCTGGAAGGCAGGGAGGGCAGGATGCAGTCCGTTCCGCAGAAAAGGAAACTCAAGAGAGGACAAGTAATCTACTTGTGCAAGGTTTCAAGTCATTCCGTGACCCAGCGGAAACTGGAAGCTAAGACGCCCAACCCCAGCTACTCACCTTCTATGGCCACTTCTCCCACTGGATATACAAAGGCACAAGGTCAGAACTTCTTCTCAGAGCAGATATACAAAAGCAAAGTGCTTCTGTCTCACTGTTCTGATGACTGGGGGAACAAATATTCGCCAGGCCCCATATGTATGGCTTTATCAGTCAGAAATCTCATTAGTAACATAAACCCACGGTGGAGATTGGGAGTGGAAGAGCACAGAATACCGATACCCGAATTCCTGACAATGTCCCTGGTCTGAGCTCAACGTTTATTGACTGCTTCCTCCTCCCCAGCACTGTGCTTGGGATACAGAATAAGTAAGACAGATAAAACTTCCGTCCCGGTGTACCTCACATTCCAATGGGTTCATGAACAATCCAGAAGCTGCCACAAAGAGACTGGTGGGCTGCGTCAGGCCCACATTAGTGTTCCGTTTGGCCCAGTGCATAAATTAAAAAAAAAAATAAGTTGCCAACTTCTAGCTCCTATGAAACAGGCAACTTTGGCTGGATTCTTAGATAAGAAGTAGCTGCCACTCCTGCTCCTTACCAGTACCTATGACCTCTAGACCACTTTAAGTTCCCACTATCTCCCACTGTCTCATATCCAAACAAGACAGACAAAAGAAATAAAACAAGCTAGTGTTACGCACACGGTATGACTGGTAGAAAGGTTTGCTTCAGAGTGGGTGGTCAGGAAAAGTCTCTCTGAAGTGTTATCTAAACTGAACTTAGTATGACAACCATGACAAGGCTGTCAACAGAACAGGAAAATGCATCCAAGCAGAGGAGCAGTGAAGGCACAAGTCCCCCCTTGAGGCTGGAAAGAACTTGGCTTGGCTTGTGCAAGGACTGACGAGGTTGAGGTTGTTGGGAGAGTGGTATAAAGATTACAGAAGGGGGAGGATGTTGGATTACCCAGGGCCTCATAGGCCTCATAGGCCATGGAGAGACATTAGAATTTAATGCCAAGTGTGACGGAAAGCCTTTGGAGTGTTTTAAACTAAAGAATACAGTGATCTGGTTTACATTTTCAAAAGATGAGTCTGCTATGTGGGGAAGTGATTTACTGGGGCAGGAGAGGAAGTAGAGAGTATAATTAGGAAACTATATTTCAGAAATAGGGGACAGTGGGTAGGACCAATGTGGTAACAAAGAAGATGCAAAGAAACAGCAGATTCAAGATGTAATTTGGAGAATAATCACAAGTATTTTCTGATGGAAGGCATGTAGTCGAAGTGAGCAGGCGAGCAGAAGGAGTAACACAAAGGGAGCAATCTCAAGATTTCGGCTTGTTCAAACATTAAGAGTTGGGGAAGACCAGTTTTTAGAAGAGAAATGAAGAATCTGATGAAAAGATGAATTTTGCCTAGACTCAGTCTTGTGAGGTTTCTCCTTTCCCATACCGTTTTCATTCAAGCAGACCTCCAACTTCAAAATACCTAACCTCTTATCAAATACCCACCTTGCCCTTGTCCTGAGTCAATGGTCTCTCTTGCTCTGACTCTTCTAACAGTCCACAGACATGAATTAACTAACCAATAGCACAATAGATCAGAGTGGTCTGTTATCTCTCTCACACAAGCTCTCTTTAAGGGCAAAGACAATGCCTTATTGCTGTTCACTTCCAGTGCCTAGCATGGTGCTGGGCACAGAGTAGCATTCAAACATTTGATGAACTGAAGACAGGTCAGCTCTTTTCCACCCTTATGGCACTATACTTTTCCACCTTTCTTCAAAATCTAGGGTCTTTTATCCTTTCATACCCTCACAACATCTTTGCAAGGTATCACAGGGGACAATTCCTCACCATCTTGCAAATAAGAGAAATGAAGCACAGAATGAAATCCTTATTTTTTGATGGAGTTAGGTGCTTTGCCCAGATTGAAACCAGCCTTTCCCTAACCCCATATGACAGTCTTGTAACTGGAAAATAACCCAACCTCCCATCCTTGCAAAACTGCTGGTTAACCCTCAGGTGTTCCCTAAGTTTTGCCTCCACAACTGCAAACTTCGCTGGGTATCAGGGTGTGCTGCTACAAGGCTAAAGACCACATTCTCCCTCTCAATTCTATTTACCACTCTCCTCAGGGCCCAGATTCCACTGCATGGGCCCAGGAGAAAGAGAAGCACCTTGGTCATTAGCCTGGGAGATCAATAGGGCCTAAAGTCACAACCAGCAAGAAGAGAGATCTAAATAGGCAAGAATAATTTCAATGGGAAAAGGAAGAGAGGGGCCACCAACTGGAAAATCAAAATACTCCTTTAAGAAGGTTTCCAGCTGGGGAGTACCTAGGAAGAAAAGTGGAGGCAGCAGCAGGCCAAATTCCTCCTGCCACACTCTCCCAGAGTCATTTCTTCAAGGCACCCAGGCTCTTCAGGGCTTCCTGGGCCTGGGTCAGCTGCTGCTGAAGCCTCTGGCGGGTACTCTCGTTAGAGGCCCGCTTCAAGAGGCCCTGCATTTCCTCCATCACTGCCCGGTGGCCTGGGGCATTGTGGAAGAGCCGCACCACTCGGTCCCCACAGGAGGCCAGAAACCGGCCAGTGATGTCAAAGGACAAGTCAGTGATGCACTCCCCATGGACCTGCTCAAAGCATTCCTCCTTCTCACCCCGCCGGGTATTGTAGAGACGGATACTGCTGCCACTGGCCAAGGCCAAGACCTGGGCATCAGGGGAGAGTGCCAGGCGGCACGGCATGGTGCCTGCCTCTTCATAGCGGCCTGTCCTCAGCAAATAGGGGTCCTGTTGCTTCTTGTATTCCACATCTGTGTCCCACAGTTTCCACGTACCATCCTTGGAGACAGAGGCCATCCTGCAGCATGGAAAATCATGGCTCTAGCCCCAAACACACTTGGAGGGGAGGGCACTGGGACAATGTTAGGGGCTCAGCTAACAAGTCAAGCCCACTGCTATGTGCACACCTATGGAGAACAAGGCACCCCACCCACTTCAGAGCTGCTGCGCGAGCTAGGCAGAAGGACGCTGGTTATCAGGAGAGACCAGTGGTAAAAAATCAGAGATGATGCACTCACCTCCGGGAGTCATTGGAGAAAGCGAAGAAATGAACAGCTGCAGAGTGGCCCTTCAGTTCAAAGGCTCGCACAATCTCCTGGAAGTCCCCTTTTTTCCCAAAGCAGACTTCCCAAACTTTTACATCTGGGGTGAAGCCACACGAGGCCACAAACCTGTCATACAATCCCAGGTTCCTTTAAGACTTAAATGGACATCTAGTCTCTGCAAATCCACTAAATCTACTTCCTAAGAAAATTAATTACGGATCTAAATAACACTGTATTTTCTCTAAAGTGCTTCCATACCTTACAGGTGAAGAAATGGATGTAGGAGATGGTGACTTCCATGAAACTGCATCATTACAAGTGGGAGAGCTGGCCTGGAGCCTAAGTTTTCTGCCTCCACACTATATGATACTCCCACTGCTTGAAGCTATCTCTCTGCTTGTCCCTATCCCCCAACCTCAGTCTTTCCCCACCTGAGATGCGAGAGCCCCTCCTGCCTCACCTGGAACATGGCGATATGACAGCATGTGTGTTGTTCATCTGATTGGTGTTGATGGTCGACAGCACCCGACCCTTCAGATTCCAGATGAGAATAGTGGTGTCACTGGACGCAGTCATGATGAACTTCCCTGGGGGGCACAGGCAGAGGGTGTGATAGGAGCTTGTGAAAGCAATGTCCCAACTGTCTTTTCCATGAAGACTTTTATGAGGGTCTCTGGTGGCCAGAGTCTCTCTGTCACATTGGGCCGGAGCATAACTCTCAGGTAGCATTAACTCATTCAACAAATCTAACCGGAGCCATTCCCTCCTCTGCCCTGGGCAAGCTCCACTCTGACTGCCTCTCACCTGTGTCAGCAATGCCAATGTTGATGATGGGCGCCTTGTGCTTTCTGGGAAAGTCCTCGGGGTTGGCTGTGAAAGTGTAGCCCCCATCCTCTCGTTTGGTCATCTTGAAGACACGGAGAGTGTCTCCATTGGCCAGCCAGACAATGAAGGCTCTAGAGACAGGCAGCAGACAAGTCCCTTACTCATTTGGACAGGGAGGCCTATGTGTGCCAGATGCTATGCTAGGTTCTGGGGAAAATCAAGATCTCCCCTTGTGCCCTACAGCTTAGTCTTACAACTTAACCACCTGGTTCTCTTAAAGGCCCTCAGAACCAACCATAGCCTTGGTTCCTTTCGTTTCTTCCTAGTGTTTGGGAAACTACTGCTGCTTCTGAGAATCGTATGGAAGCCAGGCTTTGGCACTTCCCTGCTGTGTAGCTACATAGCCTGTCACAGATGCCCCAGGCAGTGCTCAAGCCACCTAGACGCTCTCTTTCTGCCACCCCAAGGGAGACCCTGAGCTCATCCTCATAACCCCAAACCAGCAATGGGAAGGACATAAGCCTGAGGCTGGGCTTCTGCAGGCAAACCTGAGGCTCCATCCTGTCCCACCTGCAGTCAGGGCTGAAGCGCACCAGGGTGGCATGGTCCAGCTCCACATTGGCTCTCATGCTGCGGTGCTCACGCTGCAGGAAGTCCTTGGTGCTCCAGATGCGGACGGTTCGATCATCTGCACAGGTGGCCAGGTACTTGCCATTGCCGCTAAAGTCCATGCAAGATATGCTCCCACTATGGCTCTAGGGGAAAGGTTGCAGGAAGTGTGAACAGGAAACCCCTCAGGCAGATAGGGAAGTCCTAAGCTTCAGATATGACCCTGGAGCCCTGTTGCCTGAATTAACAGCAAGCTAAGGATGGGATGGGAAAAGGCGGCTATTCCTATGGATTCTGGTCAGAGGCACTGGAATCTGTAACATGCACAGAGCACTAAACAGGAAAAGTCTGTGGGGTGTGTGTGTATGGTGTGTCTGTGTGTTGTGTGTGGGTACCTGCATACCTTCAGTGCTGCAGCCAGGAGGCGGTGGGTGAAGTTGTGTTGCTGAGGCTTCTCCTTGCGAATCCGCTGTTGCTTCTGCTTCTTGGATCCCAAGGATTTATCAGGTGGAAGTCCATTTGCTTTCTGGCCTATAAGCAAAATCCATTCACCTACTCAGTAAGCACTGACTGTTCACCTATAATTTGCTAGAATCCCTGGGTGTGCAAACAATGAAAGCACTTGGCTAACTGAAAGACTAGAGGCTCCAGTTCACACAGAAGTACCTCAAAAAAAGGCCTAGTAATCTTCTGAAGGAGCTCTGGGGGCGTAGTGGATAAGGCATTCGGCTGTTAACCAGAAGGTCAGCAGTTCAAACCTAACAGCTGCTCCATGAAAGGAAGATGGGGTGATCTACTTCCGTAAAGATTTCAGCCTCTGACACCCAATGAGGGTCTCTATGAGCCAGATTTGACTTGATGGCAGTGAGAGTGAGTTTAATCTACTTCTGAAGAATTAGCCATTGAAAACTCTATGGACACAAGGGGTCATCAAGAACCATAGTCGACGCAACACCAACAGGTTTTACAATTTGCCAAGAACTGAGAGGAACAGCAAGGGATGAATCAGAAATGGCTCTCGTCCTTGAGAAAAGAGAGTGTGGTCTGGGTAGAAACAGACGCTTTTAGATAGACCAGGGTTTGGGTTCTTGTTCTACCACCGAGGGATCCTGAGTAGGCTGCTAGCTGTAAGTACATAGAGCACCTCAGTGCAAATGAAAAAAAAGACTCCTCCAAGTACCAGGAACTCTGGTGGCGTAGTGGTTAAGGTATTTGTCCCCTAACAAATGGCTCAGCGGTTCGAACCCACCAACAGCTCTGTTAAGAGAAAGATGAGGCAGTTTGCTTCCATAAAGATTTACAACCTTGGAAACCCTACAGGCAGCTCTATTCTGCCCTAAAGGGTCACTATGAATTGGACTCGATGGGACAGCAGTGAGTTTGATCATTGGCCAGATGTCTATGTGCACAACCTTAACTGGTGGTCCTGGCATTGGGCAAGTTACTTCATTGTTCTAGGCCTTGGTTTCTTTAAAGGGAGGCTGGGAGCACTGGATAATATACACAGAGTGATAACCCAAGTATTAAAAGCTCCAAGAAGCTGCGGAGAAAATCAGGGATGAGTGGAACAAGATGTGTTGAACATCCAGCCTGTGCCAGGAAGGACTGTCAGTCATTTTCGCATAAAGTATCTCATTTCAGAGAAGCAGGCTGCACACACAGGTGACTTGCTGGATTGCTGCTAATGCTCCCTCGGGCTCCTACAGGAAAAACACACCCTCCTGGACCCAGCACACAGAGACGGCCCCAGTCTGGCCTCTGTTTCCCCAGCCTGGTCTAACAAGCTCACTCCTCTCTCCTCACTTTGGAGTCATACCAAACGCTGTTTCAGGATTCCTGGCCTTCACGTGCGCTGCCAAGGCCCAGAATACCCTTTTCCTTCCTTGGCCTCCTGTCAAATTCTTACAGTCAGGACCCCACCTCATGTGTTCCCTATTCTCCACGAAGCCTTCTATGACCCTCTGCCCCTCCGCAAACAGTGCAGCTCGTCCGTTCGCTTCCCCTCCCCCCCGTTTCGAGCCCTGACCTCTTCTGTGAAACTTAACTACGCTCCATTCCCAGTTACAACTGCAGATGTCCTCTCCCTCACCAATACCGGCCTCCTTAAAGAAAAAGGCTCTAGGCACCTGGGAAGCGCCAAAGCATCGGCCTAACAGGTACTCCATCAACGTGGCTGCGTGTAGTCCAACGACGTGAACGCCCGCCCGCCATTTTCACAAAATAAGGAATATGCAGCGCGCCTTCCACGTTTACAACGGTCTCTCTCAGCAACCCCAGGAGAAGCTGAGGTTTCAATTAAGTGGCTTGGCTCCGGCCACCGAGAAAGGGGCAGAGCTCACCCAAGCTCTCTCTATAAAGTCCTGCCCAAGAGCCGCAGCCATGCCGGCAACACGTCCTATCTAGAAGCGCAGCTCACCTCCCAGGAGGAGAAACCAAGGCCCAGGAGTCCCCGGCCCCCCGAACGGCCTAAGCGGCAGGCCGGACCACCGAAGGCCCGGAGCCAGGTCCCCGCGGGCCACCTCTGACGCCCCGGCCCTACTCACCGACGGGCCGGCCGCGCGTCTCCGCCTCCGTGCGCAGCCACCCCCGCGCTACCGCCGCCGTCGCCATCAGGGCCAGCAGCCCGAACAACAGCGACAGCCCCATTAGCTCTGGCATCTGCGGGAGTTCCATTTTGCCGGGGACACCGCCACCTCAGCCTCTGGCGACGCGGGTATCCGCACGCCTCCGTGGGCCGCGCACGCACGCACGCGGAGGCGGAGCGGCGCACTTGGGAGCGTCCGGAGGGGCGGGGCCAGCCGTTGTTCCCGGATTGGTCGTTATGTCACGAGGGGCGTTTGAGGTTTTGTTGACACAGAGAGAGAGGGGTTAGGGGAGGTCTCCAGGTCCTGCTGGGGCCTCTCCTTGGGTAATTAATTTACTGATAGGCATAATTACAGCCATCACCACACTGGGTCCTTCCAAGGAGTGAGGGCTGGGATTAGTATTCCCTTGATTGCTAAACGGAAGGTCAGCGGTTCAAACCCACCAGCTGGTCTGCAGAAGGACGATGGGGCTATCTACTTCCTTAAGGATGTACAGTCTCAGAAACCCAAGGACTTCGCTATGAGCTGGAAATGACTTGATGGCAGTGAGTTTGACAGATAGGAAAGTCTTATTAGCATCAGGGCAAACTGAGTTGTGCTTTTACTGGTGGGTAGGTTTTCAGTGGTAAAGGAGAAGAAAAGGGCGTTCTGGGAACTAGAGTGTGGAATTGTCTCAGCAAGACCTGAGAGGCAGGGAGATGGGGCATGAGCAGAATAAAAAGAAGGTTGGAAAGATCTGGATTGGATAGTCTTGAGAGTCTTCTGAAACCAACAACCAGAGAACAGCTTTTGCTAGTTGTAAAAGGGCAATTCACCACTTGTCTGTCAGTTTATCCTACTGTGGTGCTTGCATGTTGCTGTGAGACTGGAGGCTATGCCATTGGTATTTCAAATACCAGCAGGGTCATGCATCGTGGACAGGTTACAGCAGAGCTTCCAGACTAACAAAGGCTCAGAAGAAAGAAGGGGCCATCCACTTCTCAAGGAATTGGCCAGAGAAAACCTTATGAATAGAGTATAACACTGTCTGATATATTACTGGAAAACTTTATTAATAGCCCTGAAAGATTGTCCGATATAGTGCCAGGAGATGAGCCCTTCAGGTCAGAAGACACACAAAATAGAACTGGGGGAGAGCTGCCTCCTCAGAGTAGGGCTGACCTTGATGATGTGTCCCGTCCCGCGGGACAGTCAACCTAGGACCTGGAGGAGGGGATGGAAATGGAGGGGACAAGAGACACGAAGAATGGAGACAAGTCGAAAGCCCGATCAAGTCTCGTTTATTGAATTTCAAACAAATACTTATATATGGTAAAGGAAAGGGGCAGGATCAAGGAATGGGGTGATGTGACATTGCTGCTGACGGTGAAATAGGGAAACCTATAAAAAATAGATACGTGGCAAGAGGCGGGTAAATTTAAAAGTGCTGAATCACTTCTATACAGAAGTGAAGTGAAGGCTCAAGACAGGTCTCGAAACTCAAACTTAGGTCTGAAGATGTCCAACAGGCCCAAAACAAAGAAGGGAAGTATTGTGACCTTGTTACGATGAATAGAATGCCGTGGTGCGGCTCTCCACAATGATGGAGGTGAAGTAAAGCTTTTGGGACCTCCATTTGCTAATGTGGCATGACTCAAGATGAAAAGAAATACCTGCAAACATCCATTAATAATTGGAATGTACAAAGTATGAATCTAGGAGAATTGAAAGTTGTCAAAAATGAAATGGAACACATAAAGATCAATATCCTAGCCATTAGTGAGCAGAAATGCACTGGTCGTGGCCATTTTGAATCAGACAACCATATGATCTGCTATGCTGGGAATGACAAATTGAAGAGGAATGGCAAGGCGTTTATAGTCACAAAAAATGTTTCAAGATCTATCCTGAAGTACAATGCTTTCAGTGATAGGATAATATCCATATGCTTACAAGGAAGACCAATTAATACTACTACTACTCAAATTTACACACCAACCACCAAAGCCAAAGATGAGGAAATTTAGGATTTTGAGCAACTTCTGTAGTCTGAAATTAACCAAACATGCAATCAAGATGTGTGGATTATCTCTGGTGATTGGAATGCGAAAGTTGGAAACAAAAAACAGTCACCAGTAGTGGGAAAATATGGCCTTGGTGATAGAAATAACACTGGAGATCACATGATAGAATTTTGCAAGACCTATGACTTACTCATTGCAAATACCTTTTTTCAACAACAGAAATGGTGTATATACTTGTGGACCTCGCTATATGGAGTACACAGGAGTCAGATTGACTACATCTGTGCAGAAAGGTGATGGAGAGAATCTCAATATCTTCAGCCAAAACAAGGCCAAGAGCTGACTGTGGAACACACCATCAACTGCTCATAGACAAGTTCAAGTTGAAGCTGAAGACAATTAAAACTAGTCCTCCATGGGAGCCAAAATATGACCTTGATTAATATCCCTCCTGAATTTAGAGACCATCTAAACAATAGATTTGATGCATTGAACATTAGTGACCGAAAACCAGACGAATTGTGGGATGATACCAAGAACATCATCCATGAAGAAAGTAAAAGGTCATCAAAAACAAGAAAGGAAGAAAAGACCAAAATGGATGTCAGAAGAGACTCTGAAATTTGTCCTTGAATGGAGAGTAGCTAAAGTAAGTGGAAGAAATGACAAAAGAGCTGAAAAGAAGATTACAAAGAGCAGCTCAAGAAGATAAAGTCAATTATTAGAATGAAATGTGCAAAGACCTGGAGTTAGAAAACCAAAAGGAAAGAACACACTTGACTTTTCTCAAGCTGAAAGAACCAAAGAAAAAATTCAAGCCTCGAGTTACAATATTGAAAGATTCTATGGGCAAAATATTGAATGATGCAGGAAACATCAAAAGATGGTGGAGGGAATACACAGAGTCACTGCACCAAAAAGAATTGGTCAATATTCATCCATTTCAGGACGTGGCATATGGTACCATGGTATTGAAGGAAGAAGTCGAAGCTGCACTGAAGAAAGTGGCAAGAAACAAGGCTCCAGGAATTGACTGCATACCCTTTGAGATGTTTCAGCAAATGGATGCCATGCTGAAGACTCTCACTCGTCTATACCAAGAAATTTGGAAGACAGCTACCTGGCCAACTGACTAGAAAACATCCATATTAGTAGTCATCCCAAAGAAAGGTGATCATACAGAACGTGGAGATTATTGAACAATATCATACATAAGTAAAATCTTACTGAAGATAATTCAAAAACAGTTGCAGCAGTATATTGACAGAGAACTTCCAGAAATGCAAGCTAGATTCAGAAGATGGTATGGAACAAGGGATATCATTGCTGATGTCAGATGGATCTTGGGTGAAGGCAAAGAATATCAGAAAGATGTTTACTTGTGTTTTATTGACTATGCAAAAGCATTTAATTGTGTGGATCATAACAAATTATGGATAACGTTGAGAAGAATGGAAATTTTGTACATAGACTAGGAGGCTATCATTCAAACAGGACAAGAGGATACTGCATGATTTAAAATCAGGAAGAGAGTGCATCAGGCTTGTGTCCTTTCATCATACTTGTTAATGGTATGCTGAGCAAATAATCCAAGAAGCTGGACTGTGTGAAGAAAAGTGTGGCATCAGGATTGGAGGAAGACTTATTAACAAACTGCAATATCCAGGCAACACAGCTTGGCTTGCCAAAAGTGAGGATGACTTGAAGCAATTACTGATGAAGATTAAAGACTACAGCCTGCAGTATGGATTACACCTCAACATAAAGAAAACAAAAATCCTCACAACTGGTCCAATAAGCAGGAGCACAATAAATGGAGAGAAGAGTGAAGTTGTCAAAGATTTCATATTACTTGGTTCCACAAACAACACCAATTGAAGCAGCAGTCAAGACATCAGACATTGGATTGTACTGGGCAAATCTGCTGCAAAAGACCTCTTTCAAGTGTTGAAGAGCAAAGACGTCTCCTTGAAGACTAAGGTGTGCCTGACCCCAGCCATGGTATTTTCAGTCGCCTCACATGCATGCGAGAGCGGAACAATGAATAAGGGAGATCAAAAAAGAGTTGATACTTTTGAGTTGTGATGTTGGTGAAGAATACTGAAAGTACCATGGATTGTCAAAAAAAAAAACTAACAAGTCTGTCCTGGGAGAAGTGCAGCCAGAATGCTCCTTGGAAGTGAGAATGGCCAGACTTCATCTCACCTACTTTGGTCATGTTGTCAGAAGGGACCATTCCCTGGAGAAGGGTATCATGCTTGGTAAAATGGAGGGTCAACAAAAAAGGGGAAGGCCCTCAATGAGATGGATTTACACAGTGCTGGGCTCAGGTATAGCAAAGACTGTGAGTTGGCACAGGACGGGGCAGTGTTTTGTTCTGTTTTACATAGGGTCACTGTGGGTTGGACCTGACTTGATGGCACATAACAACAACAACAGGGCAAGAAAGGACAAGAATGGTGTCTCAGGGAGATCCTGTGGATGGATCAGGATGTGAAAGGACCAAACAGGGAAAGAAAACCAAGAAGTGGTTGCAAGGATCCAGGAAGGAGGTAATAGTGAGAAAGGCAAGGAATCAGGCTAGCCAGGTCAAACAGGCCCCTGAGTCAATGCCTCTGAAAGTTAAGCCTGCATGCAGACCACCACATAAATCTGGCTGCTGTTGTCAGAAAGCTGATGAGTTGGCAAGCCAGGGGCTTGGGTGAGATAAAGAGGCTACAAACTAAAGGCCCTAAGCTTGATGAGTTATAAATGCTGATAAACCTCCGGATTGTTCCTTCACGTCTCTCCTTAGGTGCCCACCAGGTCCAGAGCGTGTGCAATAAAAGTCAGCATGACCAGTGAAGTAACCTTCTACCAGAGGTAGGCAAGAACAAGTATCTCTCACTGGGACTCGAACTGAGGCCCTGAGACATCTTAACTTGAACCTCAGAACCTCACCCTTTTTGTGAATAAAGATGATGCCTCTTTTCTGCCGAACACCCTTTATAAGCCTTAGGAATCCCTTTGTTCGGTGAGAAACCCAAGGCTAACATAGGTGAAAGCCCCTCTCTGTCTCTCCCTCGTGATCCCTCCTCCCCCCCCCCCCCGTAATCAACTTTGTTT